GACACATAGGGAGATCCCACCAAAGAAAGAATGTATAGCCTTGCAAATCCATTCCACGTAGACAGGTAAGAAATGGTCTGCCTGGGTTCAAAATAGTCCACGATATCTTCGTTTGAGCAGTGGTTCGACAACTGCAAATGACATCTCAATTTCTTCTACCTTCAACTTAGTATGCTGATAAGAGTGAGAAACTCATAATTTATTAGGGCACTACTCTACTACATTTGGAGGGAAATAAGCAGTAATTTGTTTGGCGATAGTCTTTTAAGTGTATGGACGAATTTACTCTCCCCTATTTTGGTAAAAAGTGGTCCACTGATGGATATTTGGATGGAAATCGTCCAAAAATGCCTCCTCTGAAACTTTTGGAGAAGTTATGGGTGACGACTACAATAAATCAAGGTTTGAGAAAAGTCGGCTAGTGTTTTAAAGGCTTTTTGCTTTTACTACAATTATTCCTAAATTTTGATAATGTAATTAATAATAATTAAGGAATGAATTAAAATAAAAGTACTCAATAAATTTAAAAATGTAACAAATACGATTATTTAAAATTAAGACGAAAATGTTACAACAGTCACATAAATACGTCACTCTAAATTTATTAATGAATATAATTCTTCGTTCATTAGACGTAATTATTTTTTTAGTAATTTATGTAATAATAAGTCAATAAATAATAATTTTTCAAATAAATAAATTGTTAAAAATTAAAAAATAAAGAAAATGATGAAACGCTGCTCATTTGGTGCAACTTTTGATCTTTTAGAATTGAGATGACTTTCAGTTTGGTGCAAGATTTACACCAAAATAGTTCAAAACTTATCCCACATTTTCATCTCTTCTCCCTCATTTCCCTCTCCATTCTTTGTTGCCTTCCGACATCGCATCGCCCCCTAAAACACAACCACGCTCCGACAACACATAGTAGCTGCGAGCAACTGCTCAACTATGCTTCGACAACATATAGCAGTTGGGTGCAAGGAGCCGTTGCTTACGTAGCACTGATCCAAGCAGGGAGGCGCTGTGTGCAAGAGCAGCTTCAGATGATGAGCGGGGCTGCTAAGGCATTGTTTTTGGGGCTGATTTTTAGGATTTGAGAGTGGTTTCTTCCTTCTCCTAACTATTTAGGGTTTAAGTGTGTTTTTTGTTGGTGATGGCTACGATGGTGGTGGTTTTGGATATGTAGTTTTACACTAATTTAGTTACTTTCGTGGTTCACCACCAATTGTTTTACTTTTGATTATGGATCTGTGGTTTTGAGGTTTGTGGAGGAGGTGATTTTTGAGGCCTTTTTTGTTGTCGGTTGTGTGGTGGATTTGGCAATGTTGGTAGTGGATTTTGGCGGTGGTAAGTTGGTGGGGTGATGGATATGGCATTATGGCGATGGTGAGGTGGTGGCGTTGGTGGTAGTGGCGCCATGGTATTGGTATTGGTGTTGGTGGCAATAAAGGCGACAACGACAATCGAGTAGGACAAAGATGTTTGTGACCAATAAATTGGTTGATTGTAACCAACAAATTGTTTAATTTGTGACAAATTAGTAATATGTAGCCTATAAAATGTGATTGTGACTTACAATTTTTAAGTTGTGATCAAGAACTAACTTGTGATCAATTAATTTGATGATTTGTGATCGTTAAATAAGTTGTGACTTATAAAATTTGTGATTTGTTACTAATAAATAAATTGTGACCTATAAATTTTTTTTTATTTGTGAACGAGAAATAATTTGTGACATATAAACTTTTTCTTTTTTTTTGTGATCAAGAAATAATATATGACCTATATTTTTTTTTTAAATTTCTGATCGAGAAATCATTTGCAATCAATTAATTCAATAATTTGTGATCAAATTGTATAGAATTGTGAAATTTATATATTTAATTAGTAAAATATATTTTTAATTAATTATTTCAAAAATTAATCTTAATAATATCTTATTTTTGAAGTTTTAAATCTTGTTTCCTTAGCTTTAAAATGCATCATAGTTAAACTCTTAAATATGAAAATTTTCCAAATTAAAATCTACATAATTTAAGTAAAACCAAACATAAATTTTAATCACATATTGCATGAGACTCTCAAATTTTTAATTACACATTTTATCAATTTTTATCAAAATTTATTAAAAATCTGATTTTAATCCTCACTAAACAAGGGTTAAAAATGAAGGACAAAAAGAAGATTTTTTTTTTAAACTCAAAAATTAAATTTTAATCACACATTATGAATCAATTAAATCTCCATTAAATGAAATTAGTATTGTGTGATTGAACTTAGTTTGGATTGTTGTACTCAATCAAATGGTTGAAAACTTGTACGCATTTTTTGTTAGAAGAAAGAAGTTTTATTGAGTGTTTTTATTTACTTATTTATTTATTTTTTTAATGTGATGACCTATTATTTTCAGTATTTCAAATTTACCAACAAAATGCACAACAATCACTACTTTTATTTTAAAAACCTAATAAACCAATTACTAAATATTTCCCAAAACCTAGTTTGTATTTTAGTTTTAAGTTTTGTATTCATTTACATTATTTTGTTTTGAGGGGTTTGTTTTAAGATGCCAAAAATGTGTTTCGTTTGTCATTTTAAAAGTTTGTTTTTCAAAACAAAAAACTAGAAAATACATTCGATTTGAAATTTTTAAAAATTATTTTATAACATTTATCCCATGAAATTTGATCATTCAGTAAAAGTAGAACAATTTTATGTTAATATATTATCAAATAATATATACATTTTAATGTTGATGAATCTTAAGATAATTTTTTTCTTGCCACAAAAATAAAATAAAATAGAATAATAAATTGAGTTCAAAATATAGAAAAATAACAACGTGCACTGAGAATATTTTTATGTGTTCATTTATATATATAATCAACAAGGCCTTGAACCTTTTTTTTTTTTTTTCAATTAAAAATTTTTTTATATTTTTTTTTTTTTAATCTTTTATTTGTCTTTAATTTATTAATTTTTTATTTCACTTCTATTTCAAGTTTTTATATGATTTTATTTATACATTTTTTAAAATTTTATTTTTTTTCATAATTTTTATTTGTACACGGGATTTTACCAAATGAAAAAATAATGGTCTCCTTGGACATGTACATGAGAACTCCTGTGCATACGGCAAAACTCTTATAACAAAGAATATAATTGATAAGCATGCTTCATTGTCAACGGTTTAGAATAAGAGTCTAAGGTAGATCGTCTTGTCTATCTACACAACTTGGTCCATCCTAGCATGAAGTTTTCTTCCCATTTTTGAAAGACATTAGTTTTCTTGGAGAAACAAAAATTTCGAAGAGGCCCAAGTGAGCCATAAACTTCAATTCCTAAGCCCAGTAAGACCTTTGCAGATCCTCCACTCTGTAATTAAATAGGATTGATCAAGTGCTTCCCCTTTCTTCTGCTCCTGCCCCTTATCACACGCGATGGAGGCGGGGGAGTTGTCACATCATCAACTAAGACTATTAGCAATGCAAGATTTCTTGAATTTGTACTTTGATATTACATTGATGGATTACTCCCCAAGTACAGGGCCTTATAGGCACCTCACTGTGTAGTTGACTCCACCTATTTATGAAAAAAAAAAAATGCTCCCCTCCTAATGTGTGTGGCCTAACAGGGGCCTATGAATCATGCCCCTGTACTTCAAGCATTGTCCTACATTGATAGTGCAAACATTAGCATGACATGATCAAAGTTACATGTACAGAATAAAAACAGGTTAAATTTATCAATGGTCACTCAACTTTATACTTAGTGTTATCATTTTTATTAATTTTTTTCCCGATCACGATGTCTAACGACGTGAATTATTATTTTGATCTAATCAAAATCGATAAATTAAAACGCCCCTTTTAATTTATCACTAATTCACTTTCGTTGTCCCAAATTGATATCTAGCAATGTAACTTGTCAATTAATTAATTAGTAAAACTCATTCTTCTGATTCTCTTTTGTGTGTGACCCATTAGGTTCCCGATCAGGATGTCGAACGACGTGAATTATTATTTTGATCTAATCAAAATCGATAAATTAAATGCCCCTTTTAATTTATCACTAATTCACTTTCGTTGTCCCAAATTGATATCTAGCAATGTGTCAAGACAATACATGTGACGGGAAATATCATGTAGTATGACAAAACCAAACTTGTTCGTTTACCGTGAAACTATAATCCTTTCGTCAATATGATCCGATCAATTATGAGATATGGAAACTAAAAACTCATTTTAAAAAAACAAAATAAAAAAAAACTTAAAAAAAAGTTACTTAAAAAATCAAACAAAAAAAAAAACTTATTTTTAATAAAATGTTACTTTAAGAAAACTTATTTAAAAAAATTACTTAGAAAAATAAAAAAAATAAAAACTTATTTAAAAAACGTCTTTAAAATAAAATAAAAACTTATTTTTTAAAAAAAAGTTACCTAGAAAAATAAAATAAAATAAAAGTTAATTACAAAAGCGTTTCTTAAAAAAAAAAACTTATTTTAAAATAAACGTTTTTAAAATAAATAAATAAACTTTATTTTTGTTTTTTTAAATTTTTTTATATATATGTAATGCAAAGTAACCGTTCTACCCCTTTTAAAATTTGTGAAAATGGTGAAAAGAAATTGAGGGGTCATGGTCAAATGTTATATAAAATTAGGTAGTTATGGTGAAACGTTATATAAAATTGCATAGTCATGGCAAAATAAAATCAAATTGGGTAGCTATGATGATACTAAATATAAAGTTTGGTGGTCATTGTGAAACAAAATCAAATTGGGTGATCATGATGACACTAAGTATAAAATTGGATTACCATTAATGAACTAAACCCGAATAAAAACTAATCACTAAAGAAAAACCAGTGCTAGTAAAAAGTAAAAAAAAAAAGTGATTTTCATCTTCAGATGTGCATAAAGCAAGCCTAAAAGGCTTATTACACTTTCAGGTGGACGCAACATCTGCAATAAGTAGTAAAAAAAAATCGCTTAACTAGACTGGAACTGTCCTAATGTCATTACCACCTTGTGCCCTCAATTCTGTTACATTTTCATCTTCCTCGTTCTCTTTCGACATTTCCTCCAACGATTTTCCCTTCGATTCGGGCACCAACAACGTAAACAACATTCCGAGGAAGTTGACACAACCGAGTACAATAAGCGCATTCCTAATACCAATACCAGGAGGATATCCAGCATCAGTCTTGTTTGGATCAGTAGGCTGTGCTGCGTATAAAAACCCGAACGCTCCAATAATGGCTCCTGCCTTACCTGCAGCTGCTGATATACCATGGCACGTCGACCTAAGCCTGGCCGGGAAAATTTCAGCTGGGACGACAAATGTGGTGGCGTTTGGACCGAAATTGGCAAAGAAGAAAGTGAGAGAGTACATGATCACGAATCCAATTCGGTTCTCTCTATGTGTCCAGTGAGTGTAAGGAATGGCCAATGCAAACATAAACACTGTCATGAAGAAAAATCCCATTAATTGGATTGCAAATCTTCCGATTTTGTCTATGAAGAATACTGTAAACCAGTAGCCAGGTACAGTACTGCAAAGAGCAATAAGAGTTTGAGCCCTTGCAATTCTGTAAACTTCATCCAATGCATTCATGGTTTGAGCAGGAGGGATCCATCCAATTGCGCTAAAAATATCCTTCTGGAAAAGATTTTGACTGTAAAAGGCGATATCCAGTAAGAACCATGTACTTGTCGTTCCAAGTAAGTGAAGTCCATGGCGCTTAAGGAATTCCTTTGTAAACAATCCAAAATTATTCCCTTTTTTCTGAGCAAACTCTTCAACTTTTTCCTGTTCTGCCTCAAGTTCAACTTGCAGTACTTTGGACATATCAGCAGCGGCCTGTTTGGCATTCTTGGCAACTAAGGCCGTGTAACGGGCAGTTTCAGGCATCTTCATGCGCCAATAGTAAGTGAGAGCGGCAGGAAGTGCACCGAACATAAGAATTATACGCCACACATAGTCAGCTTCAGGAACAGTCGAAGCAAGAGCATTATCTTGATATGCAGGAGCAGGATATCCCGCCTTAAACGCTGCAGAAACGATAATTGCCACCATTCCACCAGCCAAAATCCCAAAACCTTGCATTGCGAAAACTGCAGCAATGAACGCTCCACGAGTCTTCTTGTTGGCATACTCAGACATGATTGTGGCAGAAAGTGGGTAGTCACCACCAATGCCAAACCCGAGCCAGAATCGAAAGAAACAAAGTGTAGCCATAACAGCCTTAGGCTCGTCTCCAAAAGAAAGCCCAGAAGCCACTGACGCGATGACCATAAGCATAAGGGTCATGCCGTAGACCTTTTTCCTGCCAAGTTTGTCCCCAAGCCACCCGAAGAAGAGTTGTCCCGCAAGTGTACCACAAAATGCGACACCATTGACAGCAGCCGAAACATTGGGAGGCAAATTCCCCGGCTTTGCTGCCCCGTTTTGGTGGTAGTATATGCGGCCGAGCAATTTCGTCACTAATGAGATGCAGAAAAGATCATATGCATCAGTGAAAAACCCCATACCAGCAATCACAATTGCAGTGAAGTGGTACAATTGAGTTTTCGCCGCATCAAGTGCATTAAGCACGTGCAATTGTTCTCTAGCCATGACTACCTCTCAAACTCGTATTTCTGGAAAAATGAACACAATTTATCAGTACCAGACATGAAGATATTTGGCAGTTATATATAAGAAACAGGCTTTCACCTCATTATCCTAATAATTTGAAGAAGACAAAAGCAGGGATATTTTGGAGACTTTATGCATGCATACAAGTTTTCAAAATTGACTGTGACAAAGGGAACATCTGTAGCAGAAAAACTGGACTCGTAATGATAAATGAGTAAATTTCTACGGAGAAAGCGCTCATCATGTTTGAATCTTTGATCCTGGGATAATAAAATATTGAAATTAATGGTCCATTTTCTTGTTACTCGGGACTCTTCTTGGAGACCAGTTAGAATTCCAAAAGCATATCAAAACGTGGCTAATTTTCATTGAGCTCTGCTACTCAAACTGTTACTTAAAACAGCTCAGCACCTGTTTAATTTCCCCGTCCATAGCCAAGTTTGAGTAGCATTAGTCATTTTCATTAGATGTAGCAGTCACTAAAGGGCCCGTTTGACAACTCTTTTGAAAAGCTAAAAGGAGCTTTTAAAATTTAATAGTTATTTTTTGAAATCATATGATTAATTTTATGAAAGTGCTTATTTTATTTATAAAAGTTTTTAAATGAAACTGATTCAATGTGTTTTCATACATAAATTTAGGTAACTTCTTTTCAAAGATCTTCTACAGAATATAAAAGTAAAAACAAAAATCATGTCGACTAGATCTAGAGTGGCAAAAAACAATTTTTATAATCGACTCTAAATTTATTAAAAAAATGAATAACATGTTATCACGATGTGGAAGTATCCAAAACTGCCAGAGAAAATGTCAAGAGAAAGAATAGAAGGAGACTTTTCAACTGAAGAAACAAAAGCATGTGAACCACTTGAGCTAGTAGACAACATAGTAATTTTTGTGAAATGAATTAGTGTAAAAGACAAGGGAACCTACAAAAGGCAAAAGTTACGTCATTTCATGGGTTGTTGTAGACTAGTTTAACCTTTCGTAATCTGTACAAATGTATATTAACCTAAACATGTGGCAGGTGTATTTTCACACACAGAACCAGAAGTAAATTTGAGTTCTATTCGATATTTCAATAATTCTATTTGTATAATCATTAACGACAATGTGATTGACAATTGGTGTGTTGGTAAAAAAATTATTAATTGCAAAAATAACATTTTGTTAAAACTATTCAATGAAAGTATGCCACGTGACATTCTATCAACAAAATTATCAATATGATTTTACACCAAGCATGATAAGACTTGACAAGACAATTGAAATATTGTGTGTACAATCATATCTGGTGTATAATGTTGTTAACAACATACCACGTGACATATTGTTATTGGACAGTTTTAAAAAACAACCATGCTATATGTACAATTGAGGATGACAATATTGGATTACCAACACTCACAATGGGAGGGGCTCATTTTTTTTTTGAAATTTTTTAATCACATGGGACCCACATGCATGTGAGAGGTTATCAACTTCCATTGTCAACCATCCATTGTACAAATGTAATTACTCTTAGGATAACTCCTAATTCTTGTTGTACATAATTTATGTACATAGAAGAGTACATAATGTGATGTGACAATCATTCGATAGTTGATGTGAAAGTGTGAGATTTGAATTAAAAGTTAGATATATGTCACGTGTAATTATGTGAACCATTACGTGAAAATTTATGTACCCCTAACAAAGTCCATTTATTTATTTTACGGATATTTTCAAGAATGTCCACAATTAAGGGTGTGAGTTGAAAA